TTTATTAGGTATTTGAGTTTGTAATGTAACTAAGTTTTCTTGTTCAGGCAAATCTTGACCGATTTTGGCAATTTTTTTTTTCTTTCATGTTTATTAGTTTTTAAGTGCGCATCTAAATTATGTTTTTTTTTATGATCAACAAGACATGTGCAATATGAACAATAAATTTTTCCTTCAATTTGATAAAAATCCTCTTTGTATTTTGGATATTTATCTAGGATTGAAAGATTTCGTGGCATTTTAGAAAAAAAATAATCTATCCGTTAGTAAATTTCAAATTTCAGTTATTCTATAAATTTAAAAAATTGCTAATTGTTTACAGACAAAAGAAAGTCTTAAAATTCCTGCATGAATAGCAAAATTCGCATCATAGCACAAAAACAATACAGCTAGCTATTTGTGGCAATTTAGTAAAAATAGCACTATTTTAGATGCTACGAATAGCTGGACACTCTGACGTATAGTACTGTATGTGGCACATCACTAATTGTAATGATTTAGTTTAAGACTTTTATTTTTGGTCAATTAAACATCTTACTAAATTAGTATCATGATTGAAAAGGTCAATTTATGAGGTTGGAGTATTCTATGCATGCACCTGATTTACATTAAAGAATTTTAATTTTTTTCCACCAAACATGTAATTAAGTATTCACTGCTTAGCATGACTTTCTATCAACTAGTCTATATAATTATCATCTGCCAAGAACATTTCTAAATTATGCAGATTATTATGAACGGATCCATATGATATAGGGTGTGAAATACCACTATTTTTAATATCTGTTCCGACGTTATGTATTATTAAGGATGGCATTAGAAAATTGTAGTGGATTGTTATGATATGTTTTTTAAAGAGGTATTTTACACTCTATACTATATACATCTAAAAATCTTAGGAAATTTTTTGGTTGTTTAAATTGTAGTGTCTCATATCAATATAGTTATGCTGTATTTAGTTGTATACCCGATATTTAGGGTAGTTTCAATAACAAGGAACCCAGTGAAATTACGTGATCACATCACGATTAAACGTTCAGCCTAAGTTAAGGTTAGTGTTAAGGTTATAATTTTTTAGTGTTAGTAAACAAATGATGTAATTGCATGATTTCACATGTGATGTTCTTGAAGTGTCCCGATGTTTATTTAGCTGAATTCAAAACTATAACTCATATAACTATTCTGTAATGGAGTTGTCCAGCATTTTTTTAATGAAGCTAATATTTGCCCGTTCCTGGTTTAGCGCGACAATGTCGCGCAGCTACTTATTATTATAGTCAAATTTATCACCCGATACTTATTGGTTGAATCAGCTGTAACGTATAAAAAAAAAAAAGCTGATTTCTGCAAAAACAAACGATTTTAAATACTGTATAAATTTATATATAATATAATATAAAATAAATTTAAAATTCATATTTGGTCCTTCAGACTTTTAATAGATTCCATTTACCTAGTTTATAATAAAAGATTTTAGTATTACAATAAATTCAATAAATTCGACAAATCTAACAAATGCGACAAATTTAATAAATCTAACAAATGCGACAAATCTAATAAATCTAACAAATGCTACAAATGCGACAAAATGCGATAAATTGCACTTGACCCCGTTGTTACCATCCGAATTTGGGACAGCGTCAGATAGGTCAGTGCCAAGATAGATCAGGGAGGTAAACGAATGTATAATATAGCGGGTTGGGGTAGTGAGTGTATAAAATAAAATAAATAAGAAAAATACAAAAACAAAATAAAATATCTGAATAAACTAAAAACAGACTAAACCTGAAACTACACGAAGTATAACAAGACAATACGTTTATTCAATATCAATGAGGAACCATTGTCTACTCAAGACAAAAACCTCAAACAAAAAACGTTGGGACACAAAGCCCGAGGCCTTTACAAGAGGGCGAAGACATTGGGTTTATATACATGTCAGCTAACTAGAAAGACTAATGATACAACACTTGTCTAACATCACTTCGCATTACTAATCTTTAATTACAGCAGACTTCTAACGCGCCAAGGTCCGAATTAAGAATTGCACTCAAACCAATTATTTCAAAGATCAAGGTCCAACGTACCAACAAGAATTAGAAGACTATTGTTCATATGTCGGACCAGTTTACATATATGGATCACAATGTAGTTCGGAAATCGGACATATGTAAAGGACAATTGGGATATCGATAGAACATGACCATATAAGGAAATAAACAAATAAGGAAGGAGCGAATACAAAAATAGAAATTAAGGTGGGACAATGGAAGAACAATCGGAAGCAAGATTAACCGATAATTTAAGGAATAATAATACAGGGGCGAAAATAATGAATGATGAAATTCTGGGGCGCAGAAATGTTACGATAGTAACACCGTAATCCTGGGTCATACTTAGGCCGCAGTAGTTAGGTTTGATTCCGGGCTCACAATATTTCTGCTGAAATTGAATCGTGATTTAGCTGATTTAACTCCATATATATCATTGATCGCAATCTTGACATTTTTCTGCTGCCACTAATCTACTTCTGTAGTATTACTTTATATTTTTATTTACTTATTACAGTATTAATCATATTGTTTGGTTTAGAATTGCTTAAAAACTCATGACTAATGGAAAAATAACTTCGGTTATTGCTATGAATATAAGGTAATAAGAAGTATTCATTTGTCAAAATCTACTGATAATTTAGTTTCTCGTGATAGATTTGATATTAAGGTTCATGTTACATTTGCTAGTTTTCAATCTGAGGGACAAATAGACTACTATTATAGATTATTTTGGTTAGTACAAATTTCAAATATTTGTTTCGATAATACAAACCAAAGAAGGAAAATCATTATAAAGTAAATATAGAAGTTTTAAGGTTAGGGCGTTGATGTTGAGATACAGAAATCATTCTCGACTTTTTTTTTAAACCCCCTCTCGTGGTACGCCATATGGCGTGATTATTCTCGACATTTTTTTAGTTTGTATACCAAGATATTCAAACTTTTTGATTGTCGGGATAATCCGGATAAATTTTTGTGTTACCGATACAAGCGAATATAATGATCTACATATTGCATAAGTTGTATTTTTTGATTTGATTGTGATGCAGTAGACCGTTTATCATATTATGGTGTATTGTATTCCTATCGTCGTAAAAAATTTCCTCATAATCCTTAAAAAGGAAATTTTACTTTTGCCGTTTTTTCTAATTAGATATTGATATTAATATCATATTAATATTCATAATAATCGGTGGTAGTATCTGGTACGATATCCTGTCATCGCGTAATTAGCCAAGCGAGTAAAGACTAATAGTAAAGTTAAAGAAGTACACGTAGTGTTACTAAACTACGTGACAATTATGCTCGTAATTTCCTCCTCTACAACATTTTTTATGCACACAAGAGAGGTTTGCTTATTACGAAATCGATTTATCTTTAGGGAAACGCCATATTCCAAAAAAGGCAAAACTACAAAGAAAACATATCCCCGCAGTTTACTGTTTTTTACTGGTTGCCAGACGGATCACAAATTAATTTAAATTTTTTTATTTAATAATATTTATACTGTAATTAATTTATATAAATATATAATCATATATATATATTAAAAAAAAAACACCTTAATATATTTAATTTATCATACAAAAAACACGAAATTTTTTGATAAATATGATTGGTCAATTTGCATATCAACAGTACGTACGTACAGTACGTATCTGGTACGTACGTACGTACGTACAGTGCGTATCTGGTATGTACAGTCTGTACGTGGCACATCACTAGCAGTACGACGTACGTACGCACAAGAAAAATTTATATAAACAATACATGCACGTAACAGGAAGAAACGTCCAAATATAGATATGATTTCACTATCTGTTACACAGATCACTCATTGTATCGACCAGTCAAAATATCACTACGGGATTTGTCAACCAATCAAATTGCGAAATTT